AATGGAATCATTGATCCAAGAGAGAGCAAACTGCAGTGCAAAATAAGCAGCATCTGCAGTTTCTCTCCCCCCCTCCCCACAGATTTGTTGCTAAGATTTGGATGGATTTGTCAGGCAGAACAGCACACAGCTCTCCCTTGTTGGGCTAAGATTGAGGCTAATGCAGTTGGATCTTTATGGTATGCTGTCTAGCGAGGTCAGAGCGTATTAAATGGGTCACGGTGTTGGACAGACGCTGTTCGCTATGTAGGGCAGCGTGGGGGACAGGGGGCTCAAACAGGGCTGAGGTGTGAGGGAGGCACCCTCGGGGCACACAGGGCCCCCTGTAGATCCTGTTGGTGGAGATGAAGATGATGATGAAGATTGGGATTGCTGTGTTTGGGATCATCCTCCCTTTTGTTTTATTCCTGTCCTCTTATATGTTTCAGTTTATGTAGCTCTCTCTCTCTTTGTCTCCGTCTTTCTGTCTGTCTCTCGTCTTCTGCTCCACTCACACTAATATCGATGGGTGAGTCAAACAGCAGTGGGCGTACACGCCTGGCATCCGTAACTTCAAAGACAACATCTTCTCACATTGATCGTGATAAACCGGATATTGAGCATATGATCAGACAGATGAGTCTCTCACACAGCTCAGCTTATACATCTCAGAAGAAGAATCACAGTCAGTGAATGCAAGTAGGAGTTAATCGTGTTGCTCAAGGACAACCTCGCAGGTCACCTGGCTGGAGATGGAAACTCAATCTCAATGTGTGACCTCTCAGTGAAGGACTGTCCAGTTAACTGTCGGATTTAACTGCTGCCATCTGCTGTGTGGTTGTAGCAGCTTTTCCCCTAATTACATTTCAACCCTTCCCGTCGTCTCCAGCCATCCCCGAAGACCGTCAGTCCTCACCTTGTGTCACCCTCAACAGCCCCTGGAGAACGCCTGCATGAGTGCCTGGGGGAAAAGGGAGTGAAAAACAGGGTGGCAGCTTAGCAGATTTAGGAGGACATTTTCATCAGCATGAGTCTAATTCATTTAGCAGAGCCACTGATCCAGAGACACCCTCAGATTCCTTCAGCAGTTAGTCAGCGTGGGTATAAATCTTGAGTAGCAGCAGCGGCGGAAGAAATCAGCTTGTTCATTTTCGTATGAAAAAATAGTCAGATGTCGTAGTTGTTTTGGGGTTTGAGTGTATGTGAAGCATCTGGGTCGTGTTATTCGTGTTATCTGAGCTGCTCTCATAAATCAGGCTTCATCCTGCCAAAAGCCATCTTGCTTTATAAGAGAAAGCTTACGCCCATCATTCCAGCTGTGTAATACAGTTTGGGCTCGACATGTACTACTCCAGGTGCTTTTGCTTCAGGCCTCAGCAGTAAGGCCAGTAAGGTCACAACTTAATCTGGTTTACGCTCGTCCTGTATCTATGACATCACAGCACCTGAGGCAATAAACGTCCCTGTGCTCTGTGTTTGAGAGAATATTGAACATTGAATAAAGTTAAGGTTGGTGGTGGAAGAACGCCTGAGGAGCCAGCTCCGTTCCAGTACTGCATAAATCGCGTACAGTCTAAGCTGTCTGGTCCAACAAGGCAGCTCTTTGTGTTTGTTGTTTGAAAACTAAAAAGATTGAGTAATATGAGCAACATACACACAAGCTTTCCCTACACCTCCTCGAAGCAGGAGGATATTAGGCTCAGCTTTCTTTTGTGTGACAAACAGGTTTGACAAAAGGACGGCTTGTTTGTGAAACTTATTGTTTCAGCAAGAGATATTGCATGCGCTCTTATTGGGCGCAGGGCTCCTCAGGCTATACGTCAGACCAGTGAATCTATATGCAGTAGCTCGCTCATCAGAGTCCTGCACAGAGCAGAGGTAGGACATGACAAAGTGTGCATTTTTCTCCTCAGACAAAGAGTCCTGTGTTCAAGAAGGACAGATGCCAGAGAGGGGAAGAGAGTGGCATGAGGACAGAGGCTGAAATACCCAAGGCATGCTTGTAGAAAGAAGCTCTCTGGTTACAAACTAAACATAAATAAGCAAGTAATACGTATGTACTGTATAATTATAGGCACCGTAATAATACAATTAAAATGTTACATGTACAAACAAGAACAGAGTTTACAGTCATGATAGCAGTTTGTTAAAGCTGTACTTGCTTTGAGGCGAATGCTAGTGCTAGCATGGTAACATGCTGTTTAGCAGGTATATTGTTTACCACGTTTGCCACCTTAGTTTAGCGTGTTAGCATGCTAACATTTGCTCACATGTGCAGGGATGAGGTATTTTTGTAGATTCCGGAAGTTAGCATCGCCTTCGTATGAAGTCAGTGGGTTTTTTGAATATGTTTTTAAATAAAAAAATTAAATAAAAAAAGGGTCTGTGGTTAGCTTAAAAGATTCTAACGTTTTGTTCTACGACATAAAATACGTCAATACATTTTTCACTCATTCGTTTTGAAGCTTGTACGTGTCTTTAAAATGTCAGTTGCTAACGAGTGGCTAAATGAGACGACAAAACTTCATCGTGGCGAACCCCTTTAGCTTAAGTCGTGGTGACGTGTAGTCCTGCGACCGTGGTGTAGTTCACTCATAAAAGGGGTGTTCATTTGTGAAGATTATCTTGCTGAACCAAACTTGTAAGTATCATAAATGCTTGTTTGTCACAACACAAGTTTATTTTCTGCATTAATCCAAATTCCAAAGCAAAAATCCTTGGCTTTTTGTCGTCTGCAAAACTGCTAACTCACTTCCAGGTTTTAGGACTCATTCCTGCAGCACACTTTTTGCACTGAACCCTAAATACAGCTGAGGATGAAATGAATGACATTAGTTTTGCAAATATTGGAGAAATTTTAATTTTGACCACCTGATGGTGTTACAGGAAAAGTCAGAGGATCATTGAAGTTATTAGGATTCATCCTCTGGGGAACGTGAATGTCTGAGCAAAATTTCAATCCATTTTAAAATGACATTCCATCCCATAGTTGATGTATGTCGGTCTGGACATACAGACAGACAGACAGACAGACATGTCTGTTAGCATGGCTAACAACAAGTATAGAGCAGTTTCTGTGTTGCACATTATAGTGAAACCACATTCTAGAATAAATGGTTATGTGCGAGATCATGCATCAAATTCAGGCTCAATGGCATCACCCTCACAAACAAGTTTGACTAGTTGATTGAGTGAGTGAGGTTACTCACAGCGACAACAACAAGTAAACTGGTTTTACAGAGCAATAGTCCCGCTGAGGGAGAATGTGTTTGTGTGTGCACACCAGTGTACCTCATATGTATTCACTCTATTCTTGGTAAACACTGTCTTAATTAAGTTCCACCTGACAGTCTTGTGTCAAGAAGTGTGAGTGTGCGGGGAACTCTAGATGCATTGGTCAATTGTAAAGGGACTTAGATTGCAATATGTAACCATTGTGTGGTGATGGGGAAATGCTAAGCAGGATTCAGCTGTGAGTCTGCCTGTGTTAGCTGTTTAGTTACTTACAACTAGTCGTATTATGTTCGTTAAGGATTAGTGCAGCTTTGTACAGCCCATAGTGCTTGTTGTACAACACTTTTTGTGTTTGCTTGAGCAGCTTACACCTCCTGTCATTACACTGATGTTTAAGTGTGATCAACTCGCAAGATTTGGTGGCTTGTTGGGCCACCGGTACATTGCAGTTCCATTACAGTTGAAGTCTAAAAATGCTGCTCCGAAACCTAATTAAATTCTGTCTTCACAGCTCTCCTCAGTTTCCTCTTTATGTAAGGTCGTTAGGTTTCCTGCCATCGTTAATCTTGTCATATTTATTCTGTTTCACTTCCTCAAGTATACAGCAGACTACGTATGCTTGACAGTAAACTATTGACACTTTCAGTCAGAAACAGACTGTAATTTGGAGGCTTTATCCCAAAAATGGTGATTTACTGTAAAACTAGGGGACTATGTCTGGGAAAGAGATTTCCTGAGCCTTGTGGCCTTGTGTGACATTAGTTCTGACCTACATTAAATGTGCACGCTCCACTTCTTTCACACACATTAATGACTCTTGTCTGAATTTTGTCATCTGTGTAATCTGTGTGCTATACTGTACATAAACAGGATTAAATTCTGGATCCTAAAACATAACAGATGTGTCAAATAAGAGCATTACATACACACCCAGATGGTCTCACTGTGGCAATAGCAGGAAAGCTGAATAGAGCAGATGTAAGGACTCGCTGTGTAGAATTACTGTAAATAAAGAGGAAGCTCAGAAACGTCCAAAAAAACATTAAAGTGAACTTGAGAGAAAAAATAGAATGTTTGTTGAAAATGTCCATTGTTCTGAAGAGCCATTTAGCAGTGGCCACGGCCTGCAGTTGCACACAAATATTTTGCAATGCAATTATAGATGGTAATGGTCAGTTGAAGATGTCCACCTTCATTTTACCTTTTTAAATAGGGGATTTACATAAGCAAACCTGTCTCTATAAAGAATCTGATGATTCTGTGAGATAAAATAAAAAAGTGGATGATAAACAAGAGGAATGATTGTCATTTTTCTTGAGGCACTCACAGCGAGAAGGTTTTGGATTTGATGCCCAGCCTGGGCAGGGCATGGCCTTTCTGTGTGGAGTTTGTATGTTGTCCCTGTGATTGTGTTCCTCCAGGTTCTCAGGTTTCCTCCCGCCACCAAAACATGTATCCCCTCCCCGGCTGCTGTGAATGGGGGGTTGCATAAGGAAGGGCATCCAGTATAAAACCTATGCCAAATCAAATATGTGGATCATGAAATCTGATTCCCACACCGGATTGGTTGAGGTCCGGGTTATTAACTTGAAGTAAATGGAAAACCTGCTGGGGCAACTTCTTACGGGAACAGCCGAAGGAGGAAGAATAAGAAGAGTTGTTGTTTACCTTTTCCAGATGGCTTTTTTTGCTACTTAAACAAATTTCCATAGAACCAGATTATCCCTGCAAATGCTCCACATCTAAATACAGTATCTGTATCTGATTGTTGTTTCTCCTCCTTGTAGGACCTGAGTGCTGAGGGCAGTTCCCTGAGCATCTCTGGGTCGATGCGTCGGGGTTCTTCAGAGAACAATCTTGACCTGGATCTGAGTGACGGAGGTCCTGGTGCTGCTCTGGGCTCCGAGGTCCAGCGTAGTCGTTCTTGCTTGGACAACCTCCAGCAAAAGATCCTGAAAGTCACGGAGCAGCTGAAGATAGAGCAGACGGCCCGGGACGAGAACGTGGCCGAGTACCTGAACCTGGTGAACAGTGCGGACAAGCTGCAAGTAGGGCGCATCAAGCAGGTGTTTGAGAAGAAGAACCAGAAGTCAGCTCAACACATTGCCCAGATGCAAAAGAAGCTGGAGCAGTACCATCGAAAGATGAAAGACAGTGAAATCCACCACAGCCCATCCCCTCGCCCGTCCACTGTCAAACACAGCACTTTACCCAGGGAGTCTCCCAGAGAGCTGCTGAAAGACATGACCGGCAGTGGTCGACACCCGACCATGGACAAGATCAAGACCATTGGCCCAGGTGTTTCGCTCTCCCCTCCTTTCTTCTTCAGCAAGCCCAGAGAGTTCGCCAACCTCATCAGGAACAAGTTTGGCAGTGCTGACAACATCGCCCACCTCAAGACCACTCTGGATGCTTCCTCACCGCTGCCCACTGACAGTGCAGGAAAGGGGCTGAGCAGCAGCACCTCTATGGTGGGCAAGCCCAAGTATCCCAGTGATGATGAGTGCTCCTCAGGGAGCGCCTCCATTTCAGCAGACAGTAACGGGAACCCGCCGGCGGGAGGGGTGTCGGCGGGGCAGGTGCCGGGCCAGCAGGCCGGGGGAGGCGGCCAGAGCGGACTGGCTCTGAGCCTGGAGGAGGTGAGGGAGATCAAAGACGCCCAGAGCCAGCTGGAGGAAGACATTGAGGAGATAAAGGCTCAGTTCAAGAGAGAGTATGGCATCATCAGCCAAACACTGCAGGAAGAGAGATACAGGTATGTTTATTATTACTTCACTTTTCATTGTCTCCAATGACACAGCACCACCATAGAATTTCATAGACAGTACATTCAAAACTGCCTATAAATTATAATTTCTAACTAATATTTCTGCACCATCTCCCAGATTTGAGCGTTTAGAAGACCAACTGAACGACCTGACAGAGCTTCACCAACATGAGATGACTGATCTGAAGCAGGAACTGGCCAGCATCGAGGAAAGGGTAGCCTACCAGGCACATGAAAGGGCCAGGGACATTCAGGTATATAATAGTGAATCTATTGCTGAAGCTTGTCTAACATCTGTTAATAAGGCTATTGTCACTGGGCATTATCATAGGTAAATGTATTAGTTGTCTTCGTGTAATGGTTCCCTTCATCAGATAACACAGTCTATTTTGTCAATTGACATTTATGTTCTCTGTTCTTGTTCCTCTCTGCTGATACATAATCCATCTTCAAGAGTAATTGAAGATTAAAACGTCAGAAAAATGCCCTTTAGCCATTTGTGAAGACCCTCAAAGTCTCTCTCTGTCTTTCTTAGGAGGCTCTGGAGTCGTGTCAGACGCGAGTGTCCAAGCTGGAGCTCCAGCAGCAGCAGCAGCAGACGGTCCAGCTCGAGAGTCGTGACGCCCGAGTCCTGCTGGGGAAGTGCATCAACATCATGCTGGCCATCATCACCGTCATCCTGGTGTGTGTCTCCACTGTGGCCAAGTTTGCTGCTCCAATGATGAGGAGCCGGCACCACGTAGTAGCTACCTTCCTGGGAGTTTGTTTTTTGACCATTTTCTGGAAGAACTGGGACCGTTTACAGTACGCCATAGACAGGTTGCTGGTGCCTGCCTGATAGTGATGAGTGATAATAATACTGCAGAAACATGGACGCTCTCTGTTGTCAGGATAGGACTGTCTAAGAGGATTGGTTGTACAATTGTCAGAAGACACGATCGCCACGCATTTACAGAGGCCATTGTTTTTTAAAGTCAGAATGAAATTCAATTTTTTTCTAGAACTTGAATGTCTGTTGCTAACAATTTCAATTTAACCTTTAAAATAATATTTATATAACAGCACATTGTGGTACATCTCCAAGCATCGCTATGAATCTTCACAAGACATTTATAGTGGATTCAAGGGTGGAGAGGAGTGCACATGAGACTCACTCTTGATTATTCTTTCTCATTTTGTTTCAGGTCAATTTTAACATCTATCAAACTGAAAACATTGCACACACACACACACACACACACACACACACACACACACACACACACACACACACACACACACACAAAACTCAAGCTTGGTATCTTGTTTGCCACAGTTATGAAATGCTAATGAATCCCTTGGAGGTATAGTTGTACATTTTGGGAAATAAGCTTATTCGTTTTCTTGCCAAAAGTTAGATGAGATGATCAATACCATTCATATCTGTACAGTGAATGTGAAGCTACTGCCAGCAAACAGTTAGCTTAGGTTAGCATAAACACTGAAAACATTACAAACAGGGGGAGCCAGCTAGCGTGGCTCTGTCCAAAGGCAACAAAATCCACCTACTAGCACCTATGAAGCTAACTAATTAAGACGTCATCTAAACATCTTGTGTTTTTAATCTTCGCACAAACCAATGTGTAGAGAAGGACATGTTGTTTTTAAACTCTAGTTTTTGGTTTGTTTTCAGAGGTTCAGAGGTACACAAAGATACATTTTTTGCCATTGCACAGAGACAGGCGAGCTATTTCCCCCTGTTTTAGTCTTTATGCTAAGCTAAGCTAACTGGCTACTGGTTGTAGCTTCATATAACTTTCATGTTTAGCATACAGACATGAGAGTGGTATCAATCCTCAAATCTAACTCTGAAAAGAATCAAGGCATATTTCCCCAAATGTTAAACTGTTCTTTTAATTGAGGAATCTACAGGCTGAAGCACAGAGGCAATGGACAACCTGTTTTTTTTTTATTTCTTGTTGCCTTGTGTGGTCAGTCCTTTTTTTCTGTTTACTGTTCCTGATGTTTAAAGTGCAATATGTTTGATTTGTAAGAGCTCTGTTTTAAATATGTTTCTTTTAGGAGTGAACGTTTTTACGTCGATGTTTTACAGTGACAGGGGGCTGCTGCTGTTGGGGTCGGGTGTGGAAATATCATTAATGTTGGCATGAGAGATCCATAACCACTGAAGCTGCTGCTGGGCTCTTATAAGACCAGCTGTCTTCTCTCTGAAGGGCCAAAAATCAGTCCCACTGCATTACCGCGCTGGTAGCATGGAAATATCAACGACAACCAGGCCATCTCCCCAGTGCAGGCAGACGCACGTGCACACACACCCAAACGACACACAACAGTCCAGAGGCTCTCTTTATGTCTTAAGAGTGTGATTTTTGTCTTTTACTAATAATATGATTGAGAGGCGATGGGTTTATACTGTGATACAGGGCCTTTTTTCGAAGAAGTAACAAAGAGCCTTCAGTACTCAGAATCTCATGTCATACTCATGTCTGATGATCTGTGATGATCTACAAGCCAATTTTTGACTGAGTGATGTGTTCTTTCACGTTTGTCTCACGAACATTGCCTATGATGATCTCAAGTGAAGCCACGGACCACTTTTTTAAATGTTTGTCTGCCATAATAACACGTTTGTGTTTGTCGTCTACTTTATCATATTTTATCTTGTTAATGTTTTGACATATTTGGGTTTTACCCACAGATCTGGTTTACATTCTCTTTTCATCTCTGGTGCACTATGTGATCAATCAGTTGTATTTTCATGCATTACGTGCCTTTGTCTGACACTTTCTGTTAAATTAAACAATACTTTTTAATCAACCTGTGACTGATTTGGCATGATTAGGCATGGAGTTGTTTGGTGATTTGTTGTTGTATTCGTCATGTGATTCCTATTTTTCATACACATTTCAGTATCTAGAAGTCTCAGTAGAGTGCAGACAACAGCCAGAAAATCATAGATTATTTCACCCAGTTGCAATTAGTGTAAATAAGGAAACAGACGGAATTTTATTAACTCAGTGAAACTTCCTGAGAGTATCCTATTTGCATTCACAGTCGATTTCTTTATTTTCATTTCAGAGATTTGCACCAGAAGAATTGACCTTATAAAAACTTACACGCATACAGTTTCTAATAAGTTACACTCAACATGAACACCACAAATATTTGCTCTTCTTTTACTGCTAAACACTCGCTCCTTCTTCACCACCAGAGGGTGTAGGCGCCGCACTGTTGGCACGTTGGAGACCAAGAAAACATTGGAAGGCTGCAGCATCTTAAAACCAACCAGGATTTATGCATGTTTTATATGTAAATTATTCATTTTCATTCTGTCAAAATCCATGCCACTACTTCACACAAACAGTAAGACTAACATCAGAGGACAAGAGACAACAGTGTCATGTGGCAGTAATATCACAAGCAATGTGTAAGAGTAGCGCCCTCTGCTGTTGTAACAAATTAACATTGAAGCTACAGTTTTTCAACACATTTCTACAATTTTCTAGAGCGCACAGCTCCATTGAAGCATGCTTTTGTATATTTTCATTAACACTAAATCTAGGTTATATTGTATTCCGTGCTGTGAACAGAAATTATTTCTGTAGACTGTAACTGTGACTGGTGTGTCTCCCATCAGGGTGGATTTTGGTACCCAGGATGCTGATGATTATAGAGAGAGGAATTAAATTCAATTACAGTCCCTTTAATGATCCCTCAGCCAAGTTGGCACAACACGCAACAGCACAGCTCCAACAATATACCACAGATACAATAATAAGTAATGACATGCATGTCATGTTTTACATCACCTTCAAATAACAGATAACATGTCACACCTACTCAACAACACAGCAGCACCAACAGTACTACTGCTGCATATCACTGACAGGGAGCACACAAACATACATATCCAGACAAAAAGAAAGCCCATGCGCTGTTAAACTCAGCAGCACTGCAATATGGGTCACCTGGCACAGCGGTGTGCACGGTTCATTCTGCCTGCCTGCATGCCAAATAGAGGCACAGACGCACACTGAGATACAGGAACAGGGATGTGGATGATAGACAGATCGCTTAACTGGGGATCTTAGGCACTCACGCAGTGTTCCTCTACTTTATGGGAGCTTAAGTTTAAGATTGGAAATGTGAGCTGTGTGCAAATACCTGTGTGTGGTGTGTGTGTGTGTGTCTGTGTGAGAATGGTTGGTGTTTTGTGCATTTGTGGAGCAACTAAGGGCATCTGGGGAAAATAAATACTCCGATTGGTGTGACGCAGAGATCCTGACTAACACACACAGCCACACAGACACCCACCCACACACACTCGCGCACACCCACCCACACACACACACACACACACACACACACACACACACACATAGGCTTGAAAATGGGGATTATGAGCTATATTTGTAGGTGTGAACTGAGAGCATTATTCTCTTTCCCGATCTCGCTCTCTTCTGCATTATGTGAAATTGAAAAGTGAGCGCTTCCCTTTGATGTGTGCTCCGATGCTGTGTGTTTTCCATTGAGCTCTCTCTTGTGGCTCCTGGAGCTCGTTGGCCCATTCACTGGGCTCCATAATGAGCTGCTAATTATCCCAGGACCTCATCAAATCTCTTTGGGCTCCACAGCTAAGCCTCCTCCTCACATAGGTTGGCATGGCGACCGTAGTGGATGGGACCTGCATGGAGGAGGCCACCAAAAGGACCACCGCAGCGTCACTCCCGCTCTCTTCTTCTGAGGGGGCGTGTGAGGGACACATTGTTATTCAAAAGAGAGAGTGGGAAATGTGTGGTTAGAATATCTTTAATCATGGAGGGTTTTACATTTTGGGAGTGTTTGTTCTATGTGTGTGCTTATGAATACATATGTGAGTGTTCTGTGTGTGTGTTTCAGTCACTGAGTGCATGAACTCATATTATGGGAACGTTTTGACCTCTCTGGCATTTTTTGGCCTCACATTGATTTAAACTCCTCTGGCAGCGCTGGGCCCTTCCCATTTCCTGTTTATGGTGTCATGGAAACAGGCCATGTTCCCTTCCTCTGCCTTTGCACTATAACATAACAATATACCTAGAATATTATTAT